TAGGGGAAGAACTCCAAAAAAAATGTCACCCAGCGAAATGATCTCAACCCGACGCGGAGACGTCAGACTTGTCAGCACGGCGCTGATAATGGGAACATTGTAACAGAACAGACACCATTTCCTGCACAGAGACATCTTACATTTCAAGTGACTCCGTCATCAGAGGAGGAAGATGGGGGCCGCCATTGCTGAGCTGTGCTCCGAGAAATGTTCAGTCCCTGGCTGTCATGCCGATGCTGCAGCTTCAATGCTATGACCCGTGTTAGATCCCTGGCTGTCATGCTGGTGCTGCAGCTTCAATGCTATGACGCATGTTAGATCCATATCCGTCATGCAGGTGCTGCAGCTTCAATGCTATGACGCGTGTGAGATCCCTGGCTGTCATGCTGATGCTGCAGCTTCAATGCCAGGACCCGTGTTAGATCCCTGGCTGTCATGCAGGTGCTGCAGCTTCAACGCTATGACCCGTGTTAGATCCATATCTGTCATGCAGGTGCTGCAGCTTCAACGCTATGACCCGTGTTAGATCCATATCTGTCATGCAGGTGCTGCAGCTTCAACGCTATGACCCGTGTTGGATCCCTGGCTGTCATGCAGGTGCTGCAGCTTCAACGCTATGACCCGTGTTGGATCCCTGGCTGTCATGCTGATGCTTCAAAGCTGTGATCTCTGTTAGCTCCCTGTCATGCTGATGCTGCAGCTTCAATGCTTTGCCCCCCGTTGGATCCCTGGCTATCATGCTGATGCTGCAGCTTCAATGCTGTGACCTCGAGCCGAGCAATGGCGGCCCCCATACTCATGACAGAGTCACTTTAAGTAGCCAGCGGACACTCTCCAGGACTTTCGGGGAGGGGTAAGGATGGACTAGAGGCTCAATTCACAAAGTTAGCACCCTAGAACAGAGCAGCGTCTACACATCCCAGACCCCCCCCCCCACATCTGACCCACATCTGGTATAAATGGGCCCCTAGAACCCAGGGGGGCCACAGTATGCACAAATGATGAGTCCACCCCTGCACAGACCTATACAATAGATAGTAGCCCCTGCCATAGGAATGAATGGAGTGACGAAGGTCGTGCAGTGAAGATCCCACCAGGTCCTTGTTATAGGGTGACAACACTCGGTCCTCCCCTCCCAAATGTGCTCAGGCGTTGTCACCCTGTCCAATAACAGACTACAAGTGGCCATTTCAGCGCACATCACACAGGCATGGTAGACCGTTGTCACACTCAGTAAACCCGTCCTTGAGACATGCCACGCCGCCATAGCAGGAAGGAGGCTGCATGAGATCCACATGCTCATCATGGAACCGTGGCTTCCATCTATTTTGAAGTGAACCTTTTCTTAAAGGCTGCCATGGATGAAAAACCGTCTAAGCACTTGCCGAGCTGAATTTCAGAACTTTTTAAGCCCCCCCCCCCCGGCACCCACCGCTATACAAAACACCCATCCCGAGGGCCTATTCTGCACCCCCATGATGCCGGCAATGACTCAGGACTTGAACTGGGAGCTCAGGGCGCCCCAGGAGGGAGGGAACGGTGGCCACAACCGGAAGCATGCCGCACAGAACCCAGTATCATATCCGTGATTCATCACATAGGCTCAGGGCACAAAGATTTAAATTGACGCTACCGGCCCCCCACTTTTTTTTTTACCTCTACAGCTTCTGTGGGCGACATTCTAACACCAGGAAGGCTTCTCTGACCCCAATGTGACCGGGTCACTTTTAGTCACTTTATTTTATCGAATGGTAAACGCAGGGATAAGGATCGTTATTTTAAAAAGGCACGTGACTGTCATTTTCAAACCTTAACTTTTTGGGAAATAAGGACCCCTCTGTGTGTGCTGGTCTCCGAGCCTCATGTGGCCCCCCTCCCCTCCCCTCCCATAGGACGGGGCTGCGTAGATCTATGGGGGGACAAGCAGGAAAAAGTTTTTTGGAGGGAGAAGCGGAAACTTACAGTTTTGGGCATGTTGTCGGGCGATTCGGGTCGGTGTGTGTGTCCTGGGGGTCTATGGGCTCCTCTCCATACAGATGAAGGCGGGATGTGCCGGGATCAGCGATCTCTCCGCAATGGGATTCCTCCGATAACGGAACACTAAGCTCTAAGCGGTGACCACACCCAGGGAAATGAAGACATGGCACAGAATGGGCTCCCGGCTCCGCCCACTCCCCCCCTTCAGTCCCGCCCACAGCCAGGAAGGGTGGGCGGGGTGCGCAGCGAGCTGAGTGTGCAAGATTGGGGCAGGGGACACATCAGGGGATGCTGGGGACAAGGATGGGGCAGGGGACACATCAAGGGAAGATGGGGACAAGGATGGGGCATGGGACACATCAAGGGATGCTGGGGACAAGGATGGGGCAATGATGCTGGGGACAAGGATAGGGCAGGGATGCTGGGGACAAGGATAGGACACAGGGGACACCTCATCAGGGGACAAGGTTTGGAGAGGGGACACATCAAGGGATGATGGGGACAAGGATGGGGCAGGGGACACATCAAGGGATGCTGGGGACAAAGATGGGGCAGGCGACACTTTATCAAGGGATGCTGGAGACAAGGATGGGGCAGGGGACACATCAAGGGATGCTGGGGACAAAGATGGGGCAGGCGACACTTTATCAAGGGATGCTGGAGACAAGGATGGGGCAGGGGACACATCAAGGGATGCTGGGGACAAGGATGGGACAGGGGACACATCAAGGGTGGGGCAGGGAACACAACAAGGGATGCTGGGGATAAGGATAGGACATGGGGTATCTCTTCAAGGCATGCTAGGGACAAGGATGGGGCAGGGGGCACTTCATTTGGGGATGCTGGGGACAAGGGTGAGACAGGGGACCAGAGTACCGTCATGTCCCTTCCATGTTGTCTTCATTGATCTTCTTATTCCCCCCACACAGGTGACCACAGATAAAGGAGTGAAAGAAATGCGTGCATGTTTGTCCAGCCTACGGTGACAACGCTTCTCCTCCATAGATACAGTGCATGAAGTGAGTGTTGTCACCCTGGGACAGGAAGTGTGTTACTGGCAGGATCACCAGGTGACAATAAACAAAAATGGCTGAAAAAGCATCACTGAGCTGGAAGTCCCATCAGATGTATTTTTATACACAGCCCCCTCCCTCCCCCTTCCTTTCCTGACATTGCCTGCATTTGCTTTTCTCTCTAGAAGGACGGCACCAACCATACGACACACATTTCTGGGCACCACGCGGAGCGACATCCTGGAGGGTTTCTGGAGAAGATACAATGAGATGTTCCTCCATTGTGCAATTCACCCTACGAACAACGCACATCAGCCGAGGACAAGCTTCCTCCTCTAATAGAACAAGTCCCAACAACGCACATCACTCGCTTCTGGCGCCGACATCAGAGCGCAGCTTGCGTAGTGCGGGAGACGGGAGCTCCTGGCACTGATCCCCACACACAGGGCGGCCAGGGAGACTTCCAGTAATGACAAGGTATATAGGGAATGGAAAGGGTTAACCTGGTGTGAGGGGATGAAGCGGAATTTTGGGTCCCGTTACTTCAATACATTGTATGGCCAAAAGCCTGTGGTCACCTGACCCTCACATCACACCTATATAAGCTTGATGGACATCCCATTCCAAGACCACCAGAGACCCTGCACAGCCCACCAGAGACCCTGCAGAGCCCCCCTGAGACCCCGCACATACCAGAGACCCTGCACAGCCCACCAGAGACTCCGCAGCGCCCACCTGAGACCCTGCACAGCCTACCAGAGACTCCGCAGAGCCCACCTGAGACCCCGCATATACCAGAGACCCTGCACAGCCCACCAGAGACTCCGCAGAGTCCACCTGAGACCCCGCACATACCAGAGACCATGCACAGCCCACCAGAGACCCCCCACATACCAGACACCCTGCACAGCCCACCAGAGACTCCACATAGCCCACCTGAGACCCCGCACATACCAGAGACCCTGCACAGCCCACCAGGGACTCTGCAGAGCCCACCTGAGACTCCGCACATACCAGCATCCCTGCATAGCCCACCAGGGACTCTGCAGAGCCCACCTGAGACCCCGCACATACCAGGGACCCTGCACAGCCCACCAGAGACTCTGCAGAGCCCACCTGAGACCCCGCACATACCAGAGACCCTGCACAGCCCACCAGAGACTCCACAGAGCCCACCTAAGATCCTGCACAGCCCAACTGAGAGTACCCACGCTAAGACCCCCATGTGAAACCCCACAGAGCCCACCAGAGACCCTCTATGGTTGGCTCTGCAGGGTCTCAGGTGGGTTGGTCGGGGTTCCTTTCCCTGCACACTGCACTCCTCTTACCTGTCAGCAGACCGCTGCTGGGCCCCCGGCCTCCTCAGCCTCATGGCCTCTTACTCCTCCACCTCCACCGCCCGGCTCCTTGCTCCTCCACGGCTGCTGGGCCCCGGCCTCCTCCACCACTGCCGCCGGGCTCCGAGCCTCCTTCTCCACAGCTGCCACCAGGCCTCAGCCTCAATCTCCTCGGGTGCTGATCCCCGACCTCCTAACCAAGCCCCCCTCTACCCCGGGCCCCATAGCAACTGTGTGAGCCACTATGGCGGTTCTTACGCTAATGTTTGTACACAGGGGGCAGTCATGGTGGAACAGAAAAGGGTCTTCACCAAACTGTGACCACAAGGATGGAAGAGCCCAACTGTCTACAATGTCTTTGTATGATGGAGGATCTCTCCAAGACATTGGAGACAATTGGGCTCTTCCAGCCTTGTGGTCACAGTTTAGTGAAGACCCTTTTCTGTTCCACCATGACTGTCCCCTGTGTACAAAGCCATCTCCATAAAGACATGGTGTTACCAGCTTAGTGTGGAGGAACTTGAGTGTCCTCCACAGAGCCCTGACCTCAACCCTACTGAACACCATTGGGATGAATTGGAATTTCAACTGCAATATGTGGCAGCGGCATCACTAGGCCGTGTGTCACCCGGTGCGCTGCTTGTTGTTACGTATACACGTGACTTCATTACGCATGCATGTAATGACATCGCGTTTACTTCATTGCTGGCGGTCATCTTGGGGAGGGACGCCGGCAATGAGAAAAGGGGATGTTCTTCCAGCGGGATAAAGTATGCTGCCGGGTCCCCTCCTCTTTCATGCAGCTGTCAGGCTCTCGGTCCATGACCCAATGCCCAATGTTTCAGAGGGGGTGACACCAAAATGATCCACTCTGATGGTGTCATCCAGTGGGAGCCGCACCCCCCTTCAAACTTCTACCTGACCTCCGTCCTCCCCTTCAGTCGTATATCTGACCTCCGTCCTCCCCTTCAGTCTTCTATCTTACCCCCGTCCTTCCCTTCAGTCTTCTATCTGACCTCCGTCCTCCCCTTCAGTCTTCTATCTTACCCCCGTCCTTCCCTTCAGTCTTCTATCTGACCTCCGTCCTCCCCTTCAGTCTTCTATCTTACCCCCGTCCTTCCCTTCAGTCTTCTATCTGACCTCCGTCCTCCCCTTCAGTCTTCTATCTTACCCCCGTCCTTCCCTTCAGTCTTCTATCTGACCTCCGTCCTCCCCTTCAGTCTTCTATCTTACCCCCGTCCTTCCCTTCAGTCTTCTATCTGACCTCCGTCCTCCCCTTCAGTCTTCTATCTTACCCCCGTCCTTCCCTTCAGTCTTCTATCTGACCTCCGTCCTCCCCTTCAGTCTTCTATCTTACCCCCGTCCTTCCCTTCAGTCTTCTATCTGACCTCCGTCCTCCCCTTCAGTCTTCTATCTTACCCCCGTCCTTCCCTTCAGTCTTCTATCTGACCTCCGTCCTCCCCTTCAGTCTTCTATCTTACCCCCGTCCTTCCCTTCAGTCTTCTATCTGACCTCCGTCCTCCCCTTCAGTCTTCTATCTTACCCCCGTCCTTCCCTTCAGTCTTCTATCTGACCTCCGTCCTCCCCTTCAGTCTTCTATCTTACCCCCGTCCTTCCCTTCAGTCTTCTATCTGACCTCCGTCCTCCCCTTCAGTCTTCTATCTTACCCCCGTCCTTCCCTTCAGTCTTCTATCTGACCTCCGTCCTCCCCTTCAGTCTTCTATCTTACCCCCGTCCTTCCCTTCAGTCTTCTATCTGACCTCCGTCCTCCCCTTCAGTCTTCTATCTTACCCCCGTCCTTCCCTTCAGTCTTCTATCTGACCTCCGTCCTCCCCTTCAGTCTTCTATCTTACCCCCGTCCTTCCCTTCAGTCTTCTATCTGACCTCCGTCCTCCCCTTCAGTCTTCTATCTTACCCCCGTCCTTCCCTTCAGTCTTCTATCTGACCTCCGTCCTCCCCTTCAGTCTTCTATCTGACCTCCATCCTCCCCTTCAGTCTTCTATCTGACCTCCGTCCTTCCCTTCAGTCTTCTATCTGACCTCCATCCTTGTATCCACTGCCTGTATCGGGGGCTGAGGGCTCTTGAGAGGAGTACTGAGGCAGGGTGCTGTGCTGTTTTCTATATACAGGCCCCTCCCACCAGCCATGATCTGCCAGCAATGCATAGAGAAGCATAGAGAGCCAGTGATGACATCGCTGGGTGTAAAATAAAGTATGTAATGACAATGGAAAGGAATGCAAAAGGCTTTAC